TAGACAAATACAGGGGCTACTGTAAACCAAAATACGAGTATATTCCAAATGGACACACTCTGAAGAAGGTAGTTGCCTTCTTCCGACACGGAGACAGGTCTCCACTCGTCGTAAAGAAGGAGGATGAGACTGATCCAGACAACTGGAGCAGCCGAAACTGTATGAAATGCACTCTCGATGAGTGTGCCCTGATAAAATGTGGAGATGGCGACCTGACTGTGAAGGGGTACGAACAGGCCCAGACACTGGGACAACACATCAACGATGCCTATTTCAGTCAAATTGGCAAAAAGGGTGGAGCAGTGGTTGGCGTACACACTGGGCTGAATCGGACACAGGCGATGCTCCAGGGCGTCCTGAGCCAGCTGCCTACGTCAAACAAGAGCACCATTCTCGATTTCCAGCTGATCAATCCAACAAGCTGTTTTGATCAGAAAATGGTGAAGAAGCAGGAAGACGTCTACAAGTTCGATAGAATCATGACGTCACTGTGCAATGACGTACCATACGACTGCAAGGACGACAGCTGCGACTACTCATCGGTGGCCCAGTTCATTGGAAACGAGGCCATGCTCTTTGAGGACAAAATGGCCGAAATGAAGGAGAATCGCGGTCTGACTGGAACAGTCTTCTCCTACTACGCCCAGCAGCTCCTCGAGTATCTCGATGGAGAAAGCAGCCTCGTCCTTGTCTCAGCCCACGACTCCACCCTGAACATGCTGATGAGTGGACTGGACGTGGCTGTGAGCTCATTTCCGTCCTACGCTGCTGCCCTATTCGTAGAAGTCTACGAACACGGTGGAAAGGAGTACGTCCGAATCAACTACGGTGGAAAACAGGTTGAATTTGGCTTCTATCGCGAGAAGCACGTTGCACTGGCTGAGTTCAGGAAGTTTCTTCGACTGTTTGGGTCGCAGTACGAGGAAGTGAAGCGAACCTGTTTCATTGAGAAGGACTCCCAGAAGAGGAGTGACAAGTTGAGTGCAATATTTGATCCACTTTCACGGGCCATTGAGAAGCACAAGGCAAAGAAGAGGAAGAGCAGTCTCCTTGGATCAATCAGCTCCAGGCTGTTTACGCAGGGCAGTGATAGGAGATCACACCTGTTCAACTGGATCAGAAACAAAATATCAAGTGCAAAGTGTGGGACTGAATTGCCAATAAAGCCAACTGAGAAGCCAAGGCCACAAGAAAGTTTTTCAACTGAAGAAGGTAATTGTGGTAGTGGTTGTAATGGTAATAGTTGTGGTAGTTGTGGTAGTTGTAATAGTAGTGGATGTAATAGTTGTAATGATAAGTGTAATAGTGGATGTGATGATAAGTGTAATAATGACAAGTGCAATGATAAGTGTAATAGTTGTAATGATAAGTGTAATGATGGGTGTAATAGTGGATGTACTGATAAGTGCAACGATAACTGCCTCACCAAACCTATGCCATGTAAACAGTCTAAGAAGGTCACTTTCACCAATGCTGATATTCTGAATTGTGGTGCTGACTACAAACCTGAGCCATGCACTAAGCCAGAGCCATCAGTGCGACTCAGTGACGTCACTGGTCGAACAGACTGCATCGCATACGCTACCAAAATCAGAGCAGCTGACTTGCTACGGTCTCAGTCTCAGACAACAGCCCCTTGTAATGCACCAGTGCTGCCTAAACCACTTCCATGCAACAAGTCAGTCAACGTGGATGCAGCAATGAGAGCCATCTACGGACAGTGATCAGTAACTCGTAAATCATTTACTAATAAAACATTTACTAATAAATCACTTACCAAATGACTGATCAAATACGAACGTGTCTGCCTCCCTCTTGCACCTCTCTGCATTTCTCAGGTGATCCCTGAATGATTTCACTTCCTTGATCTGCAACCGTAGAAACTGATCACAGAATTCAGCAACAACCAAATCACCCTCCTCATCAGCAACAGCAGCCATCTTCGAGTAGTGGCCTAGCACAATCTGCTCAAACTCAACTGCCTTTCTGAATGCGTCAATCACCAACTGATCTGATTCATCCAAAACAGGTCTCCCAATATCAGGGAACCTGAGTGGCGTATTCAGCCTGTTTATGAACGATATCACAATCTGGGCGTGTTCCAGTTCATCAAGGGCCTCCTTCCTGAACCAGACTGACAGATTTGGATACGCACTTCTATCCATCATTCCAGCAACAAGAGTGTAGTAGTACCACGCCTTATGCTCCAATGCCACTGCCTCGTTCAGCATGCCTGCTACTCGTTGACTCCGACTCATCCTATGAGAGTCTCCTTCTCTGTTTTATAGCTGCCTACTCGATCTATCATTGGTCAACCTGAGTATTCTGCTTCATAATTCATTTTGGTAGCCAATTAATGGGGGATGAGAAAAGAAGAGGGCTGTTTCTGTTTGATGTCCATGGAACACTGGCAGTGAACAAGTGTCAGGCACCAGATGGAATCAGACGGATGCTGGGACGAATCAGGGAGAGTGGCCACAGTCTGGCACTCGTAAGTGGATCGAGTCTCAGAGAACAAGTCAGCCAACTTGGTCCAGATCTCATTGAGCTCTTTGACTACGTCTTTACGGAAAATGGAGCACAATTCCACAAAAATGGCAAACTGGTGAGAAGCAGGAGACTGCTTGACGAGATCAGCGAGGAAGAGTATTCGAGGCTGATTAATCGGATTCTGGTCATTCTTGGCGAGACAGACTGTCCAGTGAAGCGTGGGACATTCGTGGAAATGAGGGAATCAGGCGTAAACGTGAGTGTGATAGGAAGAAGCTGTAGCACGGCTGAAAGAGTGGAGTTCGACGCATTTGACAGGAAGAATGGGATAAGACGGAGACTGGTGGAGCAGATTAGGCCACTTCTCGATGAATTGGGTCTCGACTGTGCAATTGGTGGTCAGATTTCAGTTGACATATTTCCAGTAGGGTGGGATAAGACACAGTGCCTGAATATGATTGAAGAGGGGCTGATTTATTTCATAGGGGATAAAACAGAAGAGGGTGGAAATGATCATGGGCTGTTTTCTGATTCAAGAACAGTTGGATTCACGACAACTGGACCAGAGGAGACAATCGAAATAGTAGACAGAATTATAGGCAGTGATCAGGGTAGTCAGGATAGTCAGGATAGTCAGGGTAATTAGAATAATCAGGGTAATCAGGGTAATCAAGGTAATCGGAATAGTCAGAATAATCAGGAAGAGAAATAGGCAGCAATTCAGTATGTTGAGGATTAGAGAACTTTTAAAATAAACCCTTAGCTATAATGTTTGATTTCTTGAGTAACAACTCATCCAATTATTCACCTGCGTTTGTAGTCCAATTTGCTCTCTAATTTCTTGGATTCTGCCATTTTTCGAACACTTTTTACGAAATCGTCGTTTATGACGTAGTCTCGTTCCTCCCTCAGTGCTATCATCCCTGCCTCGGTGCACACGTTTCGCAAATCAGCCCCGTTGAATCCAGCACTCATCTTCACCACCAAATCGAGGTCAATCTCCTCCTGATTCATCTTCTGGCTGTGAATTCGCAGTATCTCCTTTCGCCCCTGCTCATTTGGAAGCCCAATCTCAATCTTACGATCAAGTCGCCCAGGCCTCAACAGGGCTGGATCGAGAATATCGGGCCTGTTTGTGGCCATGATCACCTTCACGTCGTCGAGGGCGCTGAATCCGTCGAGCTGGTTCAGCAGCTCCATCAGCGTCCTCTGCACCTCCCTGTCGCTCGAGTTGCTCTCGTCAGATCGGCTGCCTCCAATTGCATCAATTTCGTCCATGAAAATAATGCAAGGGGCATTGGCTCGAGCATACGCAAACATCTCCCTGACCATCCTGGCACTCTCCCCGATGTATTTCTCAATCAGAGAGGACGCAACCACCTTCATGAACGTCACGCCCATCGTGGCAGCAACCACCTTCGCAAGCAGCGTCTTTCCAGTTCCAGGTGGCCCGTAGAGCAGCACCCCCTTTGGCGCCTGAATTCCAACTCGCCTGAAGATCTCAGGGTTCTTCAGAGGCAGCTCGATGACCTCGCGGATGTCTCGAATCTGCTCAGTCAGCCCGCCGATGCTGTTGAAGTCGATTTCCTCCACTTTCGTGGTCTCAGCCATTGCATAAACAGTGGGGTCAACTTCAGTTGGAAGGGCCCTTACGATCGTGAGCGTGGTCACGTCAAGGGCAACTCGTCTTCCGCTCTTCAGAAGGGCCCTGTCCACGTTCTTCGCGCATCCTACGACGTATCGTGGCCCGTGGTTCGTCTTCACAATGTACTTCTCAGGACTCAGCCCATTCAGTATTTCTCCAACATTCTGCCCAATTGTTTGCATCGCCTTCATGTCCCTCTCGCTCTTCTCGTACGACTTCTCAGTCTGCTTCAGGATGTTTCGCTCGCTCTTCAGCTCCTCAAGCACAATCTCGTGCTGTCTCACCGCATTGTGGTAGCTCTCAACTGCCTCTTCCTTTGTTGCCATCTTGGGGGTTCCAGCCCCAAAAATGACCAGGAGGAAGGCGCCATTTCCAGTTCCAATTCGCCTGGATCACCTGCCTGGTCAACTTCGTCCACGATCACTTTCACCTGTAAAAATTTCACTAGTTCTTCTATCTACTTGACTAACATTATTTTACCCATGGAGAATATTCTGAACAAGATTTACCAAATTATCGGGATATTCAAGAAGCACGGGGCCATTCCATCGTACGTCATATCACTCGCAGACGATGAGAGGGCGGAGATGGTCTCCGTATCAGTGAAAATGAGTCGCATTATTGAGATGGGCGCATTCTTCGAGGGCGACTTCATTCAGGTCACCAGGGACAGCGAGAGCGGGATTGAGTTCGTGATATGCGGCGATGAAAGCAGGCACTTTGCAACCGCAGTCGACGTAGCCAGGATACGCGAGGAAAATAACCAGCTTGAATTTCTATTGGACCTGAATTTGACCAAATTTCTGAATGACACACTTCCTGAAAGCAGGAACTGTGGCGTGGCCTACAATGCATCAGGCGCACTGGTTCCAACCAGAGAGGAGCACGATCCGATCTACTTCGAGCCAGTTCGTCTGAATGGGTCATTTGTTGGAAAATACCGAATTCAGGGGCTGAATAACGAGGAAGTTGGAAACCTCCAGGCGCGTGTCACTGGTGCATTCATAGGCAGAATAGTCCAGAAAACACGAATCAACATCTACCCACACGCCTACAACCCGTTCTGCTTTGCGATAGTCACGGCCAACAACGTCTTTGTGAAACTGGTCTTCTGGAAGGAGCATCTTACGCTCTACTCGTCGCTGCAGGTGGGCGACTCGGTCTACGTGAAGTCGTTTTCACAGCGATCTGCGAGCAACGTGCCTGATAAAATCATCTACGGCACATTTACAGAAAGCTGCTACTTCAAGGTGAAAGAAATCACCCCTAAGGAAGTTTTCAAGGTGTTTCCCAGGAGACCAATTGGCCATAGGGAAATCAGACTGTTGGATACAATCAGAGGAAGAGTGGTCTACTCCTCTGTCACACTCAGACAGACCACCAAACACGTCTACCAGGAGTATCTGCTCCTCAGAATGGAGGATGAAGACGGAAACGTGTTTTCTGTCTTATTGCAGAATAATTCACAAGAGGACTTCTACAGACTCAGAAACAGGGTGGTTGAGCTGTGTGAGATGAGGAGGATCCATAGGGGCGGAGCAGAGCTCTATATCAGCTCAATATACACGAGAATAAGGATAGAGGACGATGGTGGCTGTAGGACGTACTATAATGCGGAAGAGAACAGAATGGTACGAAGGGAGAGAAGGAGTCGCTACAAGGAGGGCGCAATTGGGTATCTTCCTGATAATTTTGGTAGAGTTGAGGAGTTAGAGGGAACTACTGAAATATTCAGGGGCGTCCACAAACAGGTTGACCTGTTTTATGCGCCAGTTCAAACGACGGCTGAGGAGCTTTTTAAGGCGGTAGATGAGCAGGGGCCGAATGAGAGCAGAAGCACCGTCTACAGCCTGGCCATAAATGAGGTGAAGAAGTTCTACTTTCAGGGGGTTGTGAGAGGAGTCGATGAAACAGAGACGTACGTCGACTATCTGGCTGAGAACGAAGGCAGTGGCACCGTTGTGGAGAGCCAGAGACTGCTTCGCGTCTCTCTTGCTGGAGACTATCGAGTCTATTACGCCGAAAACATGTTTGTTGAGTCTGAGGAAGACTGGCTCCGACTTCTGGTGAATAGAGAGGCACTGCTGTTTGTGGATGCCCTTCGCGTATCCTCAGACGAAGTCCTCGTCTACCTGACTGGCGGACTGCCCACAAACGAGTCACAATAAATTTAGCCCATAAATGCAGTCTGAGAACAACTCGTCGTACATGCCAAGTCTCTTTGGAAGCACCCAGGCAGCCAAATCCATTGATTCAAGGAAGAATACGATTCCACAGGGCACGTACTACGACATGGCAGCAACGAGGGAGCACAGCACCGAGACCAAGCACGTCGTGGTCTTTGGATTCAGCCCAGGAAACAGGGGAGCGGTTCTATCAAAAATCAGGCAGGTTGCGACTGTCCAGCGAGTTGAAGAGGGCAAGAACTCGCTTTCTGTTTGGTGCGAGGAGGTTGGAGACCTCGAGCGCCTGATGAAGCTGACTCATTCGAAGATAAACGGGGAGATTGTTGGAGTCTTCAGGAAGAACTTCGGTGTCGTCCAGAGCGAGGACGTCTACGCCAGGAAAACAGGCATTTTCGAACGAATCAGACTCTACTTGTTTGGAGAGCAGCAAAACTGATCAATTCTGAAGGAAGGCGAAAGAGGAGTAGGAGAGTGGCACCATCCAACTCACCCAAACAAATCACTTTTATCAGGCATTTAATTTAATTAATTTGACTAGTCCACTCAGTGGAATTGGGCGTCCATCCCCATCATCTGATCACGTGTCCCAGATTAATTTCACAAATATTTCTCCCCATGATCAGACGTGAAAACTTTCTGAGCAGATTGGCAGGGCAGCCTGATCAGGCCATGCGCCACCTCCACCCCAGTGGCACCACCGGAAGACTGCTTCAACCCCGCCGCTCCCCCATTTCCCATTGTAAAATTGATATCAGTAAAAAATGCGAAAATGATCAAATTCCCCTGAAAGTGCAAGGGGTGCTCATTTCGCCTGAATGCTCCATCAAGTCGCTGATTGGAGCCAACCTGTGCCACCACACCGCCTGCTTGCTCAGCCTGTTTCGTAGAATCAGGGACTCAAACAGCCCTGGTGCCCACACCGTGGTTCTGGTTCTGATTCGAACACTTTTCACAAACCACCCAGCCATCACCCACTTCCTGGCCCAGCTGGCCGTCTTCTCGGCCGAGTCGCTCTCAGACGCATTCGCCCTGCTCCTGCGCCTCGATCTCTCCCACTTCGTTGGAGAGAGTCTCCTTGACGTCATCGTCTCGTGCTGCATCCTCGTCACAAAGTGGCGTCACGACGACCACTCCACAAATGACCACTACGCGTGGCACTTTGGAATGGTTCTACGACACCTCAACTTCCTTGAGGCCAAGGTTGTTTCACTGTGTGACTACGCATTTGATATTTAATAAGGTACTGGAATTGATAAGGGTTGTAGTGTTATAGTAGTGTTATAGTGTTACTAGTATTACTCCATAACTACCCCTTATTCTATTATTACTCCATAACTACCCCTTATTCTATTACTATCGTAACTACCCCTTATTCTATAACTACACTTACTACCCCTTATGTTTTGTATCAATAAACATCTCCTGTTTTTATCCCATGTTCATTACGATCTGCATGGAAACCATTGAAATAAAAATGGCCGAGTTGGAGGAGAAGACAGTGAGGTCTCTCATCAAGGCCATCGTAGCCAGCAGGCCAGAGGGCGAGCGGCCTGCGCCTGAGGACGTGAAGGTCTTCAACAAGTCCACTCGACTGAATCCAGAGAAGACACTCGCTGAGGAGAGAGTGGAGGACGACACGAAGCTGTTTACGTACATAAAGAGGGAGATCAAGAAGAAGGCAGAGACAAAGGCAGCACAGCCACAGCAGCCAGCACAGCCACAGGGGAATCCATTTGGCAACTTCGGGCAGCCAGCATCACCTGGAATGAATGAGATGATGAAGAGCATGTTGGATAACCCAGAAATGATTGAGAATTCGATCAATATGATAATGCCAAATGCAAGTGAGGATCAGAAGGAGATGCTAAGGAAGCAGTTTGAGATGGTGAAGAATAATCCAGCTATGATGGAGATGGCAATGAATCAGATGAATAATCCAATGATGGGTCAAATGGGACAGATGGGTCAAATGGATCCTATGATGAATCAGATGAATCAAATGTACCCTATGAACAACCCTATGAACAATCAGATGAACAACCCTATGAATAATCAGATGAACACGAATGCTCCACCTGCAAATGGTCCATGTTCTCATGGTTTCTATCCACTGCATGTGGTGAAGGCAGCTGATGATTTGGATGCGAAGTTGGACATGCTCGAAGCAATGGGATTCACAGACAAAGCAAAGAACAGGGCATTGTTGGAGAAACACGCCTACAGCGTAGAGACAGTCGTTGATGAGTTGACTAAGGAAATGAATAAGGAGAAATAATAATCAGACTAACTGTGGTAGAATGGCCATGACACCTGTTACAATTATCACCTGATTATTGGGGTATCAGGGAGACACGTACTAGAAGTGTAGGAGTAAGAGAAGGAGGAAACAGGATAGACTGGAATAAACTAGAAATCCATTCTAACTACTAGTTCTATTTACCTTTCTCTATTTTCTCTACAGCCCTATCAATTTGATCAATCAGGTTGTTCTGAACCAGATACCCGTTCCATCCAACTGCAGTGGCTCCATCAATGTTCCGTGGCATGTCATCGAAGAAGTGAACTCGTTCTGCTTCCACCCCGAGGTAGTCAGCCACAAATTGGTATCCATTTCTGCCTGGTTTCATAAAGAGGGCACTCTCCCTCAAATCCATGACGAATACGCGTTCAAAGAGGGCATCGAGGCCAAGGAGACCAAGAACGTGCTGCGTTCGACAGCGAGTTGAGTTGGTCAACAGAAACACGCGATGGTTGAGACCACTCAACTTGGCAATGAGTTCATCACTTGGCTTCAGAAGTCCACTGAAATCAGGTGATTCAATTCCACAGCAGATCTCATCACTCTCCATGTCAAATTCAGTCAGAAACAGCATTCGCCTTGTTCCGTGTTTCCTACACTTTTCATCAAACTCAGCCTCAGTTCCATTGGTTTTGGAGCAGAAGATGCCCAGGGCGTGGCTACGACACATCTCTTCCACCCCACGGTTGTGATAGAGACAGTCATCCATATCAAATACTAAGATATGTTCGTTAAAGGAGACTGGTGCATCTGATCTAAGTGATATGTTACGTGTTGATATCTCAATGTAGTGGTGTGGCAGCTGATTGTGGTTGTTGGATGCTTCTTGTGAGTTATTCTCTGTCATTGGGGTGATTATTCAACACTTACTGTAACACATTATGGTGATTATTCTTACCCCTAATAAATACTAATTGGATTCCACCCCTATTCCACTATTGTTTTACTACCGTATAATTTGTTATTGTTATTTAGAATAACATTATTGGCAACCAGTGTTTGTTTGACCCATGTTCCAACAAGTGAACGTGATACTACTTGGAATCGACCTAATTCTTATTGCATTCATCCACAAGGAACTTAACTCGCTGCCTCCGCTCCACAAGACACTCTCAACAATAATGAGACTGAATATGTCACGAATGGGATGTTACGTCATTCTTGCCTTCCTACTGGTTGCAGGGCCACTTGTGGCAATAACAGTGACCATTATGCTGACGAAGAAGCAGGTGTTCAGCGAGGTGAAGAGTCCACTGGCATCATACGCAATCATATACAATATTCTTCTTCTATCCTATCTCATACGAGTATTCAAGCAACTGTTCGCATTCTACACGAAACTGGCTCTTAGTGACACATTCTACTTCTACATAAGAGTGGCCAAGTACAACAACAGTCTACTGAGCTATCTAGTCCAGTACGATATGACAAGTTCATTGGTTATGCATGCAGCAGTATTTGTGGGGCTGTTTCTGTTGGTTGAGCTGGCTGTGATACGAAGACTGAGCACGACGAATGCAGGTGCATGGAGCTACGTCAAGAGAAACTGGCCTGCGATACTCCTTGTGGTTGCAACACTAGTAGGATACGGAATGGTGATATACCACATAGAAAGGGGCGTAGAGATACACGAGATCAGTCTGGGGACGTCTGTCTCGATGGTATTCAGCAGGTTCTACGAGGCTCTTCTCATCAACGCCCTTCTTCTCTACATCTACGCCGTCGTAATCACAAATGACCTATGAAATGCATGAATAAATAAGCTTAAATACAAACAAATTGCATATGACGTCACTGACTGAGCCACCTGTGAGCCAGGGTCTCCTTGACCGTCATTCGCTTTGCTGGGTCCTTCTCCGTGCATCCTGCGATGAATTCCCTGACCAGTGTGCTGAATGAGGCAGGATAGGACACCTCTCCCTCAAGAATGGCCTTTTTGGTGCTTCTAATGCTCTTGTCTTCTGCCTTGAATGGAATTGCCCCAGCCAGCATCTCGTACGTCAGAATCCCCAGGCACCAGATGTCCACTGCCATCGAGTAGCTCTTCTTCTGACAGATCTCAGGCGAAAGGTAGTCAGGCGTGCCACAGAATGTTGCCCTACGATGCTCCTGGTCGCAAACAGACCACCCGAAATCGGCCAACTTCGCTCTTCCGTCACAGCCAATCAGAATGTTTTCTGGCTTTATGTCCCTGTGAATTATGTTCTGGTCGTGCAAATATTCCAGTGCCTCTGCTACGTCTCTGACGTACTTCCTAACAGTCTTCTCACTCCTGTCCTTGTTTCCAGTCTCGTTGTTTATGAATCCGTACAAGTCTCCATTTCCAGCATACTCCAATACGCAATACAGGTTGTTTCTGTCGTAGAAGTAGCCGTACATTCCAATAATGTTCTTATGCTCCATGTTCAGGTGGATTTCAATCTCACGCCTGATGTTTCTCACCTGTGCCTCGTCCTGTATTTTTGATAGGTCGAATATTTTTATTGCACAAACAAATCCCTCTTCCCTGTGTCTCGCAAGCCAAACCTGCCCAAACTGCCCCACTCCAATCGCCTTTCCCAACTCAAAGTCGTCAATTTTGTTGAACATTTTTAGGGCTCTTTTTGCTTTCACCTGTTCCACTTCCATCATCCTTTGTTTGACATGTAACGCACAAACATGCTCACTAAGTCACTTCCACCCAGAAACAGACTCCTTGCCTCACTCATCCGTTGCACCACTGCCTCATTCTTCTCTCGTGGCAGTTGCACTGATATGTCATGCATATTATTTATGTATTCCAAACAAAGCAGAATCACCTGATTTCCTGGGCTGACTCTCCCATCAACGCATTCCTGAACCAATTCATCAAAAATCACCCTCCAAATCTCAGTATCCTTCAACACAATTTTGTTGCTCAAAACACCCCTGTTTCTGCTTACTATGCTTGTACTGTCTATTTCCTTATAAATTCTCTTTCTCAAATGCCTAATTGAATCAACCTTCTTCCTTTCTCCATTCAAACTGCGTATCACCTGTGCTGGTGTCCCATCTACTTGTGTAATCTTCATAAGGAAGTCATTCAGAATTGGATTCGAATGGGCCTTCACCACTGCTACGCGTCCAGCTCGTGTCTCCACGTATCTGTTTATTGCCAGGTCACAGAGACCAGCCACCCTGTATGCGATGCTAGTGCTCGTACAGAGATACTTGTGCTCCTTATGCGTCCTTAATAGAATTGCTAGCCTTTGCATAAGGTTGAATCCACTTCCCCCAGATCCACTGCTTCTTTTGTGAGATATTTGCTGCTCCATTTCAGGGGCCAATTCGTCCTTGTTCGATGCCTAACAAATTTAGAGACCCAGTCCATTTCAGAGCCAGTAACATCCAGAACATCCTTAAATACGCATTGGGTGAGAGAAGGAGGCCCCACTACATCAAACTCAGTCCAAAGCCAGCATCCCTTGCAATTGTGCTCTGTGAGGACACCTCTTTCGATGACTCAGCCTATAAATTCGTCCATTTGGCTGAAAAGATGCCACTACCTGAGTTATGGACTGTTATTCTGTACGACCTCAATATCAAGTATCAAGGAATCAAATACGAAGAGTGTCTCAATGATACTGATTTCATATCCAGGTACATTGAGTACACGGATATTCATCACATGTTCAGCTACACCGAATTCATCAGAACACGATCAAGATTGGCCAAAGACTATTTTGATCAATATGTTGGGACGAGTGGAATCAGTCAGCATAGGCTGGTTGGACTGGACTGTGAGATGATTGAGACAGACCGTGGCCAGGAACTTGGGCGTGTTACAATCGTAGGACAGGATGGTCGAGTTGTATACGATCAGTTTGTGATACCAAATGGAAATGTGGTGGATTATCGCACAAAATGGTCAGGAATAACCGAGACTGATCTAAAAGATGGTATTGGATTCAAATTGGCCCAATCCAAGGTGTTGCAAATTGTAGGATCCAACACAATTCTTGTTGGCCATAGCCTGGAACACGATCTAAAGGTGCTTTGTATCAAACACGGTAGAATCATTGACACCGCCTATCAGTTTCTGAGCACTGATGGATTCAAAGTGGCCCTGAAAACACTGGTTCAGAAGCACCTGGGAAGCAGAATTCAGCAAGGAAGTCACGACTCAGCAGAGGATGCGTTGAGCAGCTTACGGCTTCTTGGACTACGAGTTTGGCAGCTACAAAATATGATAAGCAAAAAGAAGCAGATTGTTCTGGATGGGACAGTGAGGATGATCAAAGTAGGAAACAGACGTGAGATCAAAGGAATAGAAGGATACAAAGTGGTGCTAGTGGAGAAGAATGGGATGAAATACGTGGCATACGAGTAAGGTGAGTGAGTATAGTACTGAATATCAATACACCAATTTGGTCCTATTCTACTCCTCATATCACCAGGTAGAGTGATTCTTTGACTGTGACTCTCTTTTTGGTCTCTTCTGTTTCACCCTCCATGAATTTATGCATCTTAGAATACGCAAAATGCCTATGTTTCTCTTTTAGTGGAAATATTGTCTCAATCTCCTGCATATCGTTCAACTTCTCCACAATTCTACAGAACCGTATGGACGCAACTGCACTCTCCACGTTCATGTTGCTGTCCTCACAGTCCTTTAGCATCCACTCAAATGGAATCACGCCCCGTTCCTGCTTCTCCAACAAATCCCTATAGAACTTCAGTTCGGTTATTTTCTTGTGATCCAGCTCCTTTGTCTCCATTGATGTGACTATCATCCGAATTATGTTGTAGTTCTTAAGCAATTCTGCTTCCTTAGCCATCTTCTTAAGGTCTTTGTACTCGAATGTCTTCAGATAATTCTGGGTTCCCCTATTTGCATTAATCAGGTGTGTGACACCCTGTGTGCAGTTAGTTCCATCATAACTCACCAAATCAGATGCATCAATCTTCTTAATCAGTTCTAGATCAATTGCATGCAGAATGTTTGCCATTTTCTTGTTTCCTACACTCATTTTCATAATTTCATCATTTTCTGACTGATTTTTCAGGGAATTGTCCTTGGAATAGGCTGTTTCCGGCAGAATGTTGCTATTCCATGGGGCATATTCGCCACTTTGTTCCTTTTTCTCTTCCTTCTTTTCGTCTGTTTCCTTCTCTTTTGGTTTTATGATGGGTTTACCTAGTTTTGTACTGAATAATTTGTACATTTTCTCTAATTTCATATTTTTATGGATTATTCCAATAAATGCTGAAACATATCACAATGAGCCAATTATATGCTATTTAATTGCACTACAATATTCAGGGCCGCTTCTCAATGCGCTGTACGTCACCGCCTTGCTTCTGAATATCACCAACTTCAAGTGGTGTAATCAGAATTATCTGACAGTGACTGGTTCTTACAAATTCACAGATGCGTTTGATTGCATTCTTCCTGTTTTCAGCATCCATAAACACATCAAACTCATCCAGTATCTTCACAGGGCAATTGAATGAACTCCAGAGACTCAACAGGAAGCAGACACCTGCAAAGGATCTCTCGCCACCAGAAAGCGTGTTCTTGTTTCCTTTGACTGTGTTGTTGTGGACTCGCATCTTCAAATCCAGCTTCTTAGACACGTGATCAAATACCAATTCACCATCATATCCACTCGTGGCCGTGAATTCACGAAATGCCTGAATTGTTTCCACTGTTTTCTTGTTCTTTATTTCGTCTCTCTTGAGCTTCCTGTGCTTCACCGCATCCTTCGTCATCTCAACGGATCCCTTGAAATTCGAATAAATGTTCAACAAATTGTTCTTTTCCCCTTCCAATTCCAGTAGCTCATTTTCAATCTCTGCCTTAGTCCCCAGGTCTTCTGCTCTCTTAATCAGACCGTGTGTCTTTGCTCGTTGCTCATCAACCTGTTCTTTGGTTCTTGGATTGTCCACAGCTTCACTCCCTTTCGTAAGCAGGCTCTCTGTCTTGTTAGCAATTGCTCTTTTGGTCATTTCTAATGCCTGTTTATACATTTTTATTTGAGTATTTATGCGTTCTTTATCAGCATAATATTGTCTGTGCTTTTTCATTTGCTCATTCTGCACCTCTCTTTGCTTCCTAAGTCCCTCAATATTGGCTCTTTCTGCTTCCTGTAGCTGCTTCTCTGCATCTAGCTTTATTTGTTCCAAACTCTCTTTTTTATTCTTCATACTTGCACTCTGCTTGTTCATTACAGCCAGTTTCCTCTCCAACTGCACCAAATCATCGTCTTTCATCGTATCGTAACTCTTCAACTCACTTTTACAATCATCCAATTTCATTTGCTCATTCTTCAATCTTAAGTATAAATCAGCCTGCTTCTTGTTCAACTCATTATCTTTCTGTATCCATTCATTCGTTTGCACACACTTCTTGAGATCCAATAGCAGTGTTTCCATTCTCAGGCCACTGTCTTCAAAGAAATACTTTCCTGTTTCTCTTTCCCTGTAATCACTCATATTTCCCCTAACACACTTAATTCTGTCTCCTGTTGGCAAATAAACTGATCCAATTCTGTTTCCTTCAAGTTGTGCTATTTCATACGCCTTGGACCTTTCTTCAATCAAAACGGTTTCTTCTGCACCATGCATCGTTATTAATACGTTTCTGATAATATCAAATTTCACATCAATCACATCCAAAAGTGTCTTATAGTCACTGAATTTCTTTGGATCAATGACCTGTTTGCTTTGTAGCAGTAGAATTGAGCAGAATACGTTTTGTTCTCGCAGTACCTGAAACAGCTTATTTTTGTCTTCTGAATTGAATACCACGAAGTTGTCCAATGATTTCTTCAGAATTATTGAGGCTGGTTTATACCACTTTTTGTCATTGAGATTCACGTAGTCACAGATTGGTCCAATAATGACATCCTTAAAGTGTCCTGCTTCTATTTTAGAACGCAGTGCTCTTCTTAGACCATCAAATTTCCTCTTGAATACGGTACTGTATAAAGCTGATTGCTTGTTTCTGATTTCCTGAACCGTGTTGCTGATTGCTCTTCGCCTTGTTTCTACTGTTTTGTTTCGCTCTTTCTCTTCATCCACCTTATCAAATATCGCCATCTGCTCACTCTCCAACATCTTCTTCTCTTTCTCATAACTTTCGCATGTTTCAGTCAATTTAGTGATCTTCTGAACTAACACCTCCTTATTGTTTCTAGCCTTAGCTGCTTTGTACGTCTGTTCTCTCTGTCTGAAATCAGATGTCGACTTCTCATAATCTGCTTTGATTGCCGTGTAATCATTAGTTACCTCTGCTAGTTTAGTTTTAAATTCCTTGGTGTCAATGAGTTCCACCCTTGGTATATCTATGGTTGTGCTCCTGACTTCAGTATCAAGCACCTCCAGTTGTCTGACTACTTCATCCAGCTTTGTTTGCTGCTCTATCATCTTCATTTTGTTCTCTTTCACCTCAATCCACTCCTCTTCCCAATCCAATTCTTCCAACACCTTTCTGAAATCCTTCGAAACAAATTTCAACACCTTTTTGGTTGCATTTGCCTTATTCTGGAACTCATCGAGCTTACTGGCCGTCTGTTTCATCTTCTCGTTCATCTTTTCAATCCGCTCCTCTCCTTCTTCTATCTCTTCCTCAATATTCTTGAATTCAGTTCCTTCGTAATAGAATCGATACAGCTCATTTGGTGTTGTCACATTCAGAATCTTCTTGGAGTTGTCCTGCGTCAGGAAGTTGATTGGATTGCTGAATGTCAGATTCATCTCCTTCGTAACCAAATCCAACTCACTTTTGGTGATCACTGTAAACTTCCCACTTTTTCGAATTCTAGTTTCACTTTTCTTAGGCGCATTATACAGTCTCTTTTGAATTACAATTTCATCTTCAAATCCAGGCAAATTGTGGATGTTTGACAGGTAGACTGTGATTGTGGCATTATCCTTGCCATTCTTAATCAATTCAGCAAACGTGTTGCCTCTGTCCATCTGACTCGACTTCTGCCCAAAAACGAGACCCAATGAGACCATAACTGCGCTCTTTCCTGACCCATTCCTGCCTGTTATGCACGTAATCATGTTCTCGAACTCAATCTGGAAGTTGTCGTGGCACATGAAGTTGTTCAGCTGAATCCTTCGTATCAGATTTTTGTACCTCATTTTATGGTCAAATATTCTTGGTTACTATTATTTATTCCTGCTTAGTTGTAGTACGATTTGATTCAGCCGAGCTGCTATCTTCGTTCTTTTGCTTCGTTGCGCCAGTCTCCTTGACACTGGAACCACGTGGTGTCTTGTCGTTAGATTTCAGGAGTGTCTGTAGCTCTTCTACAGTTCTTGGCCTGAAATTATCTACATAAACCTTCTTGTAACCTTCTGGGCATGGACCAACCTGCTTCAACTCGCAAACCACCGCATGGTGCAAAACATTGTTGTTCTGGTCCTCAGTCCATCCCGGAAACTTAGAAACGGCATCTCCTGTGAACAGGTTGTACTGTTTGGAGTTGTCGCCACTTGCATTTCCAGCCTGCTGGCTCGCATACGACTTAATCCACTCTGGAATCTTGTCCACCTCGTCCTGGTGCTCCCCATTCACGAGCACAGTCACGATCTTGGCCACGCTGAGGTGATTCGTGTTCACGTCGTTGTAGAGCGGACTTGCAATTGGCGCCTGTGTCGCCTGCTTAATTGTATCGTCTGTAGGCACAATCATGACTGCCGTCCTCAATGCCATGTACAGGGTTATCATTCCAAACATGTGATACAAATAGTGGCTGTTTTATTGTAGGTTTGAAACAGTTGTTTCAGCTGGCCAGAGACTGATGCCCAGTTTGTTTTTTACCCTATGAAAAATAGAGCACTGAAACGGGTCCCAAGCAAAGGACTCAGCAACCAGGGCAACACGTGCTTCTTCAACGCAACCATGCAATGCGTAATGGCACTGGACAGGTTCGTGGACTATTTTCAGACTGGGAAGTTCAGTGAAAGGCAGCCTGTTTCAAGGGCATTACAGAATTTCATGCGTCTCTATACTGGTGGAGAATACGGCACCGTTGATCCCAGCACATTCATTCGGGACATTGGTCGCAAAATACAGCTCTTCAACGGCCAGCAGCAGGACGCCCATTGCTTCCTGGACAATCTCCTATGCTCCGTATTTGAGGAGAATAAGCCAGGAAAGAACAAGATTGGCGAGTTGGAGAGGCTGTTTACGGTGGAGCATCGTGCACTGGTTACGTGCAAGACGTGTCTGTTCAAGGTCGAAAGACGAAGCATCTCGCCAGTCCAGTTTCTATTCATCAGTCGCACTGTTCAGGAGTCACTTTCGTCGTACGAGGACGAAGAGGACGTCGTGGACGACAGCAGGGCACTCTGGTCATGTGAAAAGTGTCAGAGCAAAGTCATAGCCGGAATCAGGCACAAAATAATCAGCTCGTCCCTGTACGTCGTAATTCACCTGAATCGATTCTCAGACCTACAGAACAAGAACAGGGCTGCAATAGAAATCGAAGAGCGAATCAGTCTGAATCAGACCAAATATAGGCTGATTGGAGTTGTATGCCATTCTGGATCACTGCATTTCGGCCACTACTACGCGTATGCCACGAGGAGTCCAGGCGAAGAATGCGCCAAAATGCAGAAATTCAACGATACCTTGGTTTCCTCGTCCAGTGGTGTTTCCGATCCGACTACGCCCTACATTTTGTTCTACCAGCGCATTTGAATGATATTTGTCATATAAATTAACCAGAGTAGAATTGTAGCTAATTACGGTGATAATTCCTGTTGCCCTTGATTCTTTCTAACTTACAAATTTACTTCTTTTTCCCCTGTGACTTCTTCAGGTGCCTCTCCATTTTCTTAGCCAGTGATTTGCTGTACTCCTTGGTGCTGTAGTGGTTTATGAAGCAGGTTACGTCAGAATCAGTTGCCTCACTTTTGGTGGAATCATCCTCAGCTGTTCGTACGAAATTAGAGAGTGATGTGCAACTGTTACTTGCACTTGGTTCAGTCTCCGTCTTCTTCGATCGCAGTGACATCACTTGCGTCTCTTCCTCTTCCTTCTTCTTGATCCCCTCAATATCCTTTATACTTGATAGTACTCGTTCCAGGCGTCTAATTCTCTCATTGTGACCATTTTGCTCTTCAGGTTCCTTAATCTCCTTCTTTTCTTTTTCCTCTGTGCTGATTATCTCATTCAATTCGTTCACTGTCATCGAGTTGCTTCGTTCATCCTCTGCCATCTTCTTCAATTTGCTTCTTTTTGTTGCATTTTCAACCTCTGAATGCCTGATATCCAATTTCCTATAAACATATTCCTTCATTTCATTTTGTTTCTCTTGGTCTTTCTCCTTCACATCATTCTCTTGGTCTTTAACATCTCTCACATTCTCCTTCTCCTTCTCCTTCTCTTTCACGTCTTTCTCTTCATCATTCTCTCTACTTGTTTCTTGCGTCAAATTAGCTGTCCCACTTGAACACGTCTTCTCAGACTGACTCTCATACTCCATGTCGAGACTGAATTCGGTGTTCTTGAACTCATCAGATGAGCCAATGCTCTCTCGTGGACAACAACAGAAGAAGTCTCTGAGTTTCTGTAAAAATGTTTTGTTCATTAAGGAGTCATCAGACCCAAAAATGCCTTGAATAGGAGCATGCACTAGCACAGAAGAGAGACCTAACAATACTTATTGTTTGTTTACTAACAAACTGAAATTGAAACAAGGAGGCAGAAACCAATCCACTTTCCCTAGCCAACTCATCCTGGTCTTTTGATCACAAATCACAAACAAACAAACTATTTCAAAAACAAACAAATGGTTACCCATATGTTGGGAAACAACCTGGTAGTGATGTTAGGACAGCTTAGGGCGGCATTTGGTGGGTTCCACGACTCAAGCGATGGGTCCACAAGCAGATCAGTTGAGGAGCCATACTTTGAGAACATGATTCCAGGCGTTGATGATGATAACACCACAAGCAACGTTGGATACGCGTTCTACGACTCGTTCATCTCGCGACTCTACCTCTTCACAGACAGCCCAACCAGGGATTCAAATCAGTTGAGCACGATTCTGACACGAATCTGTGGGTCCAGTAAGAACAAGAACAGCAACATCGATGATACTGACGTGGAAGCAACATTTGTATCGGTTCTATCAGACTTGCACAGCAACCTCGTTTTCTCATCAAACAGCACGAGAATGAGCAATAGAAGGAGGGGCTCAAATGACAAGGGCGAGAAGCTTGAGCGATTCATCTTCAACCAGGATTACGACATTCTGAAGAACTTGTTCTACGAGGCAGACGCCTACAACGGAATGATGAATTCGGACAAGAAGCAGGTTGCAATCCGATTCGTCCAGTACTTCCTGCGCAGGTACGACGTATTCATTTCGAATGAGATTCTTCACATGAAGAACCCAAGTCTGCCAGAAGAGGAGTATAACTACCTGACTCTGATTCCAGGAGACGATGTCAAATACTACAGCGGTGAATTCACCATTTTCAAGCGAATTGTGAGGTCTCCAATTTACGAGAAGTATACGACTGCATTCATCGAGACACTGCTGGAGCAGCTCAAGGAGGCAATGACATCCGAAGGCGAGGTGAAGATCGGATTTGACACGCAGTCGCTCTACTACGTCGTTCTGAAGAGCTTCTTGGAGGAGTCAAAGGAGGTGATGACCACTTCGGGAGACAACGTAGATGGATTCGTTTCAAACATGTCAAAGATGTTCTTCGGAAACATGTACATTCCATACACAGAACAGACTGCATCCAACAAGACGCTTCTCGTTGGTGTTTCAGGACTGATTGATCCAGCAAACGTAGACACCGACTTGAAGAAGTACATGGAATAAGTAAGGGAGATTTGATAAATAGCAGTAAATAGTAAGAAGTGAGTACAATTTGAGTAGGTGTTAGATCAGGATGATCCACAACTAAGGAAATAATCAAAGATGTGCTCATACTGATTATTGTATATTTATCGTATTTCAATAATATCTAATTCAGGTGAATAAATTTGATATCAACAGCATTTTACAGACCAACACGGTGATATACTCACTCATTTGGTACAGATAAGAAGTATATCGCGTTGTTTATTGCCGTAGTGTCAAAATCACCTTGAAACACAATCTTATTTTGTCCAAGACTGTCATAAGGTTCAAAAGTATGACATAACAGTTTATTATAGAGAAAGTTAAATGCTTTACAGTGTACCTTCCCCATTATAAATGTCTAAGAAAGAAGTATAGACAAATTAGTCACACTTGGACTCCTCTCTATTAGCACTAACTACCCCTCTACATATTTCAGCAGCCACCTTTTGCCCCAATGTGCCTCGTCTTCCTGGAACAGCCAGACCACTGACTTCATCCACCCCTGCCCTAGTCAAAAACATTCCAATTGTCTTGTAGAAGTCAGCCACAACAGATGCTACTTCCAAAGAGACGCCTGCCCTGTCACAAATGTACGCAGCCAACAACTCCTTCCCACTTCCACACCTCTCCTGTTTCCTTACGAATGGAATTGGTGATGAATACGATGCCACAACCTGCTCCAACATCTCAACCAGTTCCACCCCATTCTCAAAGTGTAGCCCAGTCAGACACTTCCCAATCACAGCCCCATTCCATGCCACTCTACTCTCTTCAACCACTTTCTCCAATCTCTCCACTTCCACCATTCTGCCTATTTTGAATGCCTTATCCATCTTCCTGCTCATGTCCCTAGTGAATGCATCTCTCCCATGAATGAGAACCACAGTTGATTTGGCTGATCTCCTCGTGAATTCAGCCACATCCTGGTACTCCACCACATCCATCTCATACACTCTCCCATTCAGTCGTATTCTGCAGGTCTCTTCATCCTCATTCAGTTTGAATACGAATCCAATTCCATCTGCTTCATAGAGCATCCTGTGGTATTTTGAACCAATGTGGATCACTGCACCAATCTCAGTCATAAATGGGGTAGTTACAATTATAATTAGTAATGTATTGGTTATTACAACTACATTACTAATTACCTTTACAACCACAATATACTGTTCACAGTCACTTACATTTACTTTTTATTGCTTAGTACCACTACATTCAGGTATCCCAAGATGTCCACTTCCTTCCTGATGAGGATGACTGAGTTCTGCACTTCGAACATTTTCTCCCTCAATGCCGCAATTGTCTTCTTTATCGTTGTGCTTGGCAGCCCACATACTTCCATTGAGAACACCGTGTACACGAAATACTTGTAGGTGAGAATCTTGCAGACTGGCAACTCCCGTGACTCGACGTTGATTGTGACATTTGCTCCCTTGAATGTCTTGCCACCAATCAGTGCACTTTCAACTGCCCTGATTTCCGATGCATAGGAAGACGTACTGACCATCAGATCAACCAGGTAGAGCGAGTATCCGAAGAACTTGTAGAGATTCAGGAATCCATTTGGAACCAGCAGAATGCGGTTCTTGCCGCCCTTCTCCCCTGAATCGCGTCTACGCTGCTCCATGAAGAACGTCTTTCCAGAGAGGACGTCCACGAAGAGGACTCCTCGTTGGTGCTTTCCGTTCAATCTGTCTCGAATCTTATAGGCCGCGAGATACGCTGCCTCCTCCGTGCTGATCTTGCCAAAGACTGAGTTCAGGATCTTGTAGCAGTCATCCAGGTTGCCATCTCCCAGTGCCTTAACGTAGTCGTTGTATACGAATGGTGGAACAAGTGACTCCATTTGGTTGAAATAGAAGTAGAGCAAGTCCTTCTGGCGACACATCTTCGAGGCGTAGCTGCCTTCGGAGAGCGAGAAGATTCTGAATCCGTAGCAGCGGAGGGACTCCAGCTCGCCGCACAAGATCGCATTTGGTGACGTGTTCACGCACAGGTCGTCCACGATCTCGCGCATCTGCTCAAAGAGCAGCTCGCCGTCCTTGTAGGAGTCGGTCGTGTGCGAGTCGAACTTGAGGGAGCTACCACTGAAATTCAGGTTGTGCATAAGCAGGGCGTTCTCTTGCCCGTTGCCAGTGGGCGCATTTGGGTTGGCTGAGAACGCAGCTGATGCAACCAGCGCGTACTGTGACATCACTCCGAAACTAATCATAGGGTCCCATTGTTTGTGTTTTTTTAAATGTTTTTGATCAAACAAACAAATCTCTAGCAGAATGAAATGGGCTGGAAACAGGAGGAGGCGACCAATCCACCAGAATGCTCCACCAAACAAACCACCGTAAATAAACAAAGGTGCTCAGATTCGCTGATAGAAGGACTTTCTGGTCGTATTCAGGTGCAATCCGCTACTGCTTTGACGAGGAGCAGTGTGGACGATCCGATACGTCTCATTTGCCCTGATTTCAGGCGGATTCCACCACGTCAGCAGGGCAGAGGTCGAGTCGTCTTCGACCACCACAGTCGCAAATCGGCGCACCACGACGTCCTCGGCCCTGATCTCCTTCTTCGCCTTCTCAGCCATCGCCCTGATTTTATCAAATTCACCCTCAAGGTCGCCTGTCTTCACGCGGTAGTTTCCGACTACGACAAGAAACAGCTCATCAACGACGCGGCTGATGGTGACTTCTATGGCAGGGACTACGCCTCCATTCTGCCGTATTTCATTCAATTTGCGCATAAATGCTATTTTGTTCTTGAATCCAATTGCATGGTGCGTGTGGCACAGTCTCACGCTGTTGTAGGACAGTCTGAGAATGGGAGTGGCTCTATTGGTCTCCAGGATGTCGCATGGCCCATTCACAAGCAGCTCCATTCCAAATACGTGGATTTTGGATCCAAAGTCAGCGTGCTTCAGGTACGCGTGTGTCTGACTGTCTATCTCAGCAACCAGGCTGTAGTATCCATCAAACAACTCAACTGTCTCCTTTTTGATACCCAATATTCCCAATACGCAATACTTGAAGGGTGGAATCGATGTCTCCAAAACACCCCTGAAAAACGACTGCTCATTTTTCACCCTGAAATTCATCATTCGAATCATTTCGTCCCTGAGCATCGCGTAGTCGATTGGATTCAGCACAAAATGGAGCCAAATCCACTTGAACTGCTCCCGTATCCACCCAAGTGGCTTCTTGCTGAATATCTGCCTACACGTCTCGTACAATTCCATCATTTTGATCTCGTCTCTGACAACCTGGGTGAAATGCCCTCGTTGTGGACTGTTGTACTTCCTGATTGGTGCTCCCTTTGGCTGCTCCTCTGCCACCTGAATTCGACTGCTTCCTACTTTGATTCGCTTATTGTTTCCTGTACAGAAGCCAGTGAATGTGCTCGCTTCATTCGGTGTTTCGTCTTCCTTCCTTGAATTGTTGTTTGAAATGTTTTCTTTGTTTAATTCAAGCTTCTCTTCTGCCTCTTTTATCTTCTCCTGGTCCACGTGGATGCTCTTGTTGTTTCCTGTCACAAATCCAGTTGCAAACTGCTCTGCCTTGGCTGGCTCCAGGTTATCGAAGAATATTTCTGAGAAATCTGCTTCTGCTATGCTACTCAGAGACTCCTCTTTGGTGTTGTCTGACTCCTCCTGTTCCACAAACGTGCTCATGTTTCCCTCTGAGTCCCATTCCACCCTCTCATCCTGCAATGAGTCGCTCTGAGCAGTTGCCACTTCTATTTTTGCCTTTTGCATAGGAGGGATCTTTTTGGTCATAAACCCCTACAAAACATTTTGCCCATATGAACAATTCTTTCTCTATTGACTATGTTAGTGATTTTTAATCCCAAAAATTTGTATGTTTCTAAAGTGCAACAATATGCAATGCAGGGCAGACATCAAGTACAAGTACTGCATCACAGAGTGCAAGCACCTCTTCTGCGGCGACTGCGTCCTGCTTCTGGAGCGCAAGGAGCGATGCATCCGATGCAAGTCAAAGATCGATGTCTCGGAAATCAGACCCAAGAAGTTCGTGAAACTGGATCTACGTGGATACTCGATTGGATACATCCACGACATGTGCAAGGTGGCCACCGACTTCTTTCTGGCACAGGTTGTGCAGGAGATGCGACTGATGAGTTCAAACAGAAACGTGCTGATGAGGAAGGTGAGGGAGATGGAGGAGAAGCCAGTCAAAGTGGCCAGGGGGCAGAAAAAAGAGAGGAGGCGGGAGTCGAACTCGTCTGAGGAATACGTCAGAACGGTGGCAAAGAGAAGCAGGCCCGTTCGGGCATCTGCGCCCAAGAAGACGCCTTTTGTGAAGGCAGCCCATTCTGAGGCCGAGACGGTCGAGAATCCGGCCAAAATCATCACACCACGAGACATCTCGAGTCAGAGGCGCCTGATTCTGTCGAACCTGATCAAAACACACAACATCACGCCGCATGAGCCAAAGGATAATCCACCCGAATACACCAAATTCGAAGATAGTTGAATATAGCTTATTAAATAGACTCAGATGGCTGAATGCTCCTCGTTCACTCGCTCTCTATTTACATTGAATCCAAAGACGTTCTTGTAGTCGAATGTCCTGAGAAAGTGTAGGCAAATGTAGAAGTTGTGGGGCATCATGATGTGGGAGATGTTGACGACTGTGGATGGGTCCTTGTAGTAGGAGGTGTTTGTGACGATGTTTCGGTCGTGGAGACCAAGCTCGGTGATTGGAAAGCGGTCTTCGTCCTCCGCCTTCTCCGCCTCGTCCCAGTTCTCGAGCATGTCGCGTCTCTCAGCAACGAACTTCGTCGAAAACTCGTCCAGAAAGTGCTCCTCTGGCTCGTTGAGCGGGTAGTTCTTGACGTTCTTGTCAAAGAGGAGCTTCAGGGCGTCGTAGAAGTAGAAGTCCATGATGATCAGTGGCACCGTGAAGTAGATGATGTGCTTGTGCTTTTCGGCAAAGAGAATTGCAATTGTGGCAAGTTGGAAGGCAAGGACGCCCAGAATCAGAAACATGCTTGTTTCAGTCCAGAATATTCCGCCTGACTCGAATGAGTTTCGCTGCGAGTAGACAAGCTCGTTCTTGTAGACGAAGTAGTTGATGTAGTAGTAGACGAAGCCAAGAACAAGCATGAATGGGCAGACACAGCCGTAGCTGAGCGTGATTGGGAAGATCAGCAGCACCTGAGGCATCACGTTTCCGAAGTCGAAGGGCGGGCTCAGGTGGAGCTCCTCCTCCTCGCGCCTTGTTCTCGTCTGAAAGTGGTAGACCACGAAGTTGATGAAGAACGGGCCTGGCTTCAGCAGCGTCATCAGCGACCCAACCACGATTCGCTGGATCACCGTGTTCATGAAGAAGAGCGAGTACTCGGAGTAGCCCTTTCCGAGATCAACCAGCAGGTCGTCCATTTTGTAGTTCGAGTCCGTGAAGAAGTTGTTGAGCATGTTGAAGAAGCTGGTCGAGAAGAAGATCGACAGGAACGCGTTGTAAAAGAGGAAGATCGAGAAGAGCTTCATCAGGCGGATCTGAGAGACGCTGAAGGCCACGATTCCCTCCAGGTTGATCAGGAATTCGATGATGAAGGGCGATATGGCAATGCACAGGTTGTAGACTGCTGGTGTCACAAATCCATCGTAGTAGGCGGAGAGTGTCTTGGACGCCTTGATCTTCTTCAGCACCCAATTCAGGTCACCTGCGTCCAAATCAAGCATTCCCACAATTGAACTCACCGTGAAATAGAACAAGATGTTGTACCCTACGAACATGAAGGTGGATCCAAGGCGGCCCAGGAAGCACGACAGCTCAGACTTCGTCAGGTTCTTCCAAATGATGTCATTTGGCGCAGGTGCTGCCTCTGCTGTTGGCGAGAACACCTTTGTTCCAATTTGAGACTGTTTGATGAGACCAGTTTGCTTTGCATCTGAAAATGTCACAAATGCCCTCTGTTTGTTCATTGGTAGATCAAGTGTGAAGTAGCTCTTGTATTTTGAGAATTCCCTGATCTGCTTGAACGAGAAGAAGCTGACGTCGTTGTCGATGTCAGTTCGCACAAAGAGACTCTTGCTTACGTCAGGCATCATGTTCTGAGTTGGCTTCTGCTCATCCAATTTGTAGTTGAATTCGTCTGATACGCTATGTTCTACCACAATCTTCCTGAAGTCGTTTTTATTGGCTGTAGTTGCATCAGGAGTGTGTTTGTATATTGAAGTTGTACTGCCTTCAGAGTTATCATTGTTATCATTATTAGAGTTGTTATTAGAGTTGTTATTACCCTTGCTATTTTTACCCTTGTTGTCTTTACCTGAACTACCTGAACTACCTTTGCTATCTCTACCTGAACTACCTTTGTTATCTTTACCTGAATTATCCTTATCGTTGTTGTTGTTCAATTGGACTTCATTTTTGTAGAGGTCGACTTCTTTTGCCTTGGCCAGATACTCTTTCTCTTCAAGAATCTTCTGGTTGCAGTATCTGAGTTGCTCGATGTACACAATCAGAAAGGACGTGTCATCACCAGCTAAACCAAGAAACTTGTTTCCATTCTGCACGAAGCAGTTCAACAGTCGCACCTTCTCTTCCACATCAAATCGCATGTTCCTGAACACGCGTATTGCACTCTGTTCCAACTTGTTATGATACGTCTCCTTGAAGCTCTCCATGCATTCGTCCCTGTTTTTCTCAAAATACTTCTTCATGCGCAGGAAGGCAAAGTTGATTTCCTTTTCTAAATTCTGCAGAATCACGTCCCTCTTCTCATACAACTTCGTAAGGTAGTAGGTGTCCTGAATCAGAATTGCAGTCTCCACGTCCCCAATTCCAAGCTGACGCACGTAGTCGAAGACGTCCTGGTCGTTTCTGAGATACGAAGGCAGCCTGTTCAGAATCACAGTCTTGGATGACATGTTCACAAATTCAATCGAATTCTCGTACGAATTCAGCTGCTTCGAGAGATTCTTCAGTGCCTCCACCGATGTCAATGAAGCAGGGGATACCAAATAGATCTGTCTAAGTGTGACGTACCTCTTGAAGTAGATGAATATCATGTAGAATATGAAGAGTGTGGTGATGTAGACCAGTGCGATGCACAGGTAGTAGACTATGGTGCTGTTTGCACCACGAATCGAGAATGACTCGAAGAATGTCGCCTTCTGGTTGTACTGTAAGGCGTAATAGACGCCTAGAAGCAGTGGGCAATAGACGCAGGAGAGGATGAAGAGCATTCTGTAAAGCAGCTTCAGGGTCTGTAGAAGCATAAAGCCATCCAATCCAACCATTCCAAGCAGCTTGGCGTCTTCCAGTTGCAGAACAGGCTTAATCCAATTTAAATAGCCCGTGTATTCGTGACACGGGTGATTGGGACGCAGATCGCTATTCGGGTAATAAACGTACGGTGCTCGCTTTCTACAGAACAGGAAGACGCAGATTAGGACTGTTCCCACCGCAAGTTGCAGCACTATGTTTGATATCAGTGCCTGATCTGGATTTGCTATATCTGTTTCGCTAGTGATCTTCTTGCTGAAACTTGTTGTGTCATTCAAGTCGCCATCGTCCATTCTATTTGTGGCTAAACAAATATTTTTAAACCAAAATAATTAGCCAATGATTGAAGCGTATGAAATGGAAACAAGTAGGAAATCTATGATGATGTAGCATAAGAGATGCACTTTTACTCACTGTTTATTGTTTGTAAACATTATACAACAGAGAGGGCCTTGAGCATCTGGCTGCTATCATTCTCCTTGTCTTCGACAATTGCGAGTGAAATGGCATTGGTCGTGAGAAGACACGCCTTTCCAAGCAGCTCCTTCTGCTCCACGTAGACAAACCGAATCCCCTGCTGCTCACACAAGTCAACAATGGCATTGGTCAAGCAGAGTGGAACTGAGTTGTCTGCGAGGACAACGAGCACTGCTGTGCCGTTCTTGACTGCTTTTATTGTCTCGTTTGTACCAGTTCGCACTTTATCCTCGTTCTTGTACGTCTTGATCAACTTGTAAAGAGCCTCTGATTTCTTTGCTGATAAAATTTCACGTTCCATTTGCTGGGCAATTTCAACCAAAAAATTTGCGTCTGACGAATTCGCTAATTTGGTTTTGAGACTGTTTTGCTTCGGTTGTTTCTGTCTCAACTATGCTCAAACCAGTGTCTTGTAAGTAGATCTGTGCTGCGAGAATCTTGTTTTCATCCACGTTGAGCTTATTGGCTTCTGATAGAAAGCGTTCTGCGGCCATGTTTGTCTTTACGCCCAGGAATTGGTTTGGTAGCTGAAAGTTGGCTTCGAGTGGAATCAGCAGTTTCCCATCGTTCTTATCTTCTTGTTGCAGATTGTATATGATTGTAGTGAATGAATCCAACATATTGCTATATTCAATGTTATCAAGAAGAGAAGATAGTTTCTCGTGAAGTTGCTTTTTAGTCATTTTCAGTCAGGGTCACAACAACCTGATCAATAAATGACCTAATTGTGATATAAGATGATTCGTTGCATGTGTTGAGTTATAGAATGAAATTACAGGCTAATTGATAAAAGGAGATACAAGTTGTGAAATAAAAAACAATAAGGTTCCATGTCATGAATAAGGCAGTAGAAGAACCAACCAAATGCATCTGCATCGAAATGGGAGGAAGGAATGTCATGGCAGAACATCAAAAGCATGGACAAAACTGGAGAATGAAAAACAAGGAAATATTTAATAAAATTGATTTCTATGAGATAAGTGGAGAAAAGACGAGGAAAATGGAGACAATTGATATGGAAATGTTCCTAAGAAAGCAGATTGCAAGTGACCTGAGGATCAGAGAAGAGACATCGAAGGGAAAGAAGAAACTGATCGAATTCTGGTCAATAGAAGATGCCATTCAATTTTACAAACAGTATTTCAGCATGTTTAAAATGAGATTTGTTGGTGAGTTTGAGCTGTATAAATGTGCATTGATCAATGAAAAAGATTTAAACAGGACGAAAATGAGAGAGTTCTACGAGAAAAATGAAATATTTAAGGCAAAAAACATAGAAATTGAACATGAAGAATCATTTGTGTTGGATTACTACAAACCAGGCAAGAAACAAAGCACAGAAATGAACGAAACACTGACATGTAAGAGATTCATGGAACGTGTACAGTTCTTCAACAACATGCACAACTTGTTTAGCAAGAATGATGCCAAAAAATTCAAACTTTTGTTGGAGAGAGGAGTGGATGACTTCCTGTACCAAAACACAAAGGAATTATGCGTGGGAATGTATACAAATGTTGTAGTACAGGATCATTTGCAAAGGATGAGTGAGACAGACATTCAGAACCTGATTATGAAGATGGAAGGGGACATTGCACCAATTGCAGCCACGAAATACGGAGCATACGTTATTCAACGCATTATTTTATGTGTGAAATCAACAAACAACCAGAAACTGCTTTGCAATTTCTTTATGAAAAATGGACTCTATTTGATATGCCATGAAATTGGAAACTACACGATTCAGAAGCTGCTTATTTTCAACAACAAAGAGATCAGGAGCCTCTTTCTTGACAACTTAGCTTACATCACTGAAAATCCAATTGGACACAAAGTGTGGACTAAGAACATCAAATACTTCATGGATGAAGAGAATGACATTCTTGAACAGCAACGCTATGAAAATAATGCACAAATACATCACCTAATTAACAAATTATGATTAAACCAAAGTCAACCTGAATCTGATTGGTTGATTTTCACAAAATTAATGCATAGACAACTCCTTAATGTTTGGTTCCCAAAAGAAAGAGGAAGTGAAGCGCGCTGAGACAGCAGTTGATGCAAATGTGGTCAAAGCAAATGAAGCCCTGACCAATTCAGCAGTTGCGAGAAAACTGCCTAAAAAAGTTAAGAATCTTGGAACAGAAGATCTTCTGAAGTTTGCTGCTGTGGTGAAAGTGTGCTATTTCTTTCCGCTTTTTGTCGCCTGTGATTTGGTGGCCACTTCAAGAAGCGACAACTGGTTCATCAAGTTCTTCTCCAAGTTCGCAACGTGGATATGCTACGTTGTGTTCATTGATTTCGTCAATTACGGAATATACTTCCTAGAATTGTACGACATGAAAGGAATATGCTATATCACAACATTCATCAAACAGGCCATATCAGCACTCTTCTTGCTTGCAATGTTCTTCACATTGTCAGGTTTGATTGCCAAAGTATCCATCATTTTCATGGCATGTGGTTCACTGTATGTTGATGCAGTATTTCTCTTATATTTGGACATTTATTTCAAGGAACTTACTGGAGATGACATGCTGAATCCATAGATGCAACTGATCAACTTCATTTAAATGCTTTCTATTTTAGCCCCAATGCAAATCAAACTCACCCATTTGGCTACAAACACGTCAAATGGATTCATTCTGAATATTAATGCTAAAACATACGTGATAAACATGTTTGAGGGCTTTCAGAGATTCTGTACTGAATATGGAATACCGTTGGGCAACATTGATGTTGTCTTTTCTACGAGAATTGAAAACCTGAATGGAATTCTTGGCTGGTATCTCACAATGGGAGACCAAGGAAAAAGAAACTGTGGATTTGTAGGAGACTACAAATTCGATATAGAAAGCATCAAGAGAATAGGATATAGACCAAGTTTCACATTCTTGGATACATATGACTGCATATATGAGGATGAATACATCAAACCCACACTTACAACAATAGATAATATCACAAACTACTATATTGAGCTACCAAATGTTGCAGGCTCACTAATAGCTGAAAAATTACCAAGGGGATTTCCAGTGAATTGTATAAAGAAGCTCAAGGCTAAAGAGAAAGTGGTAGTTGACGGAGTTGAATATGATGGAAGTGACTATTGCAACCAGGATATTGTATTAGGAGGACTATTGTTTCTGTATTCGACCAAAATTAATTCAGAGATAATTGATTTGTGTAAGAAGGCAAAATGGGTATTTTGTATGAATCGAGAAGTGATCCATACGCTTAATAGAACTGAAATGGTGGCAAATATATTCAATTGCACCAGGAACGGTAACATTGAATACATTAAACAATTCAGGAAGCTGCAGGAAATAGGAAACATAATACAACCAATTACAAATACAAATGGAGTAGAAGAGAATATCTTAAACAACATGGATCACTTTATATACAGCAAAGAAGTCAGTGATCTCAAGTTGATCAGAAATGAAACAAAAGTTGTAAATGAGAGAACAAATAGTTTTCCTAAGAAATATCTACTGTTTCTTGGAACAGGCTGTGCAGTACCAGCAAAAACGCGAGCAACTTCATCAATTTTATTACAAAATGATGGATATTCGATATTATTGGACTGTGGGGAAGACACCATTGGACAGATAAAACGAGCATATGGCAATTGTAACATCATTCAAACTCTAAGAGTAATTTACCTGAGTCATTCACATCCTGATCACATGCTTGGATTAGTTGCGGTGCTTATGGAAACCAAGAACGAAATTACTGTCATTGGATCACAGCTCGTTGAGAAATATCTTAAGAATTTCAATATTGCAAATTGGAAATTCATTGACATTTTTACAACGACAGAATACAACCACGATGACAATTTAACATTTCAATTTGCAAGATCAGTGCACAACATTGATTCGTTTTTCACAACAGTTGAATTCAATAATTTCAGGTTCTCATATAGCGGTGATTGTAGACCAAGCAAATTATTCGCAGAGCTCTCTCGTGATTGTGATCTGATGATTCATGAACGTACATTTGATGATATGCAAATAGATAAAGCAATCAAAACCAACCATTCCACTGAATCGGAAGCAATTGACATTTTCAAACAGAGTAATTCGAGAAAGCTGATTCTGACGCATTTCAGTCAGAGAAATGAAGTTTTATACACAGAGGTAACAGATCACATTCAAAATGCATATGATTTCTACATTTACGATGATTTCTAGAAACAATAAATTGCGCCCATTAATTTAACCTCCAAATAGGCAGCAACAGCATGGCTCTGGCCATTCAGGTCCCACATTCTCCTTGTTGATTTTGTAATTGAGTTCCTTGATCTTCTGATCTGCGTCTCCGTGGCCAAACACCTTGGCAATTTCGTACCAGAATAACGCGTCAAGGACATTGGCATCAGTTCCTGTTCCAGTCATTGCTGATTCCCCACACTTGTAAGCACAACTTGGATGCCCCTTAATTGCTCCCTGTATGGCCCACTTGTAGCTCTTGAAGTAGTTTCTGTTCAGTTGTTTAGTTTTGCCTGACAAGTAGCATTCGCTGATGTAGAACTGTGCTTCCACAGATCCACTCTCTGCCGCTGACTTGTAGAGTTCCAATGATTTGCTTTTGTTCTTTTTTAGTTTCAAGTCTCCAAATTCATAGGCCTGTGCCAGTTTGAACTTGCAATTTGGATCTCCAAGCTGGGCGCCCCTTTCAAAATTCTCAAGAGCATAAACGAAGTCTTCGCTTACGCCACATTCATTTCCACCTGATTCGTAGAAGAGTCCCAGATCATACAGTGGATACGGACACAACTTATCTGCCTTTTTAGCTGCAACCTTCATGTAGTAATAGCCTGTATTCTGGTCCTTAGGTGATCCAACAAATCCATGATATGTGATCATCCCATACGTGTGTAATGCATCCACGAGACCCAGTTTGGCAGCGCACCTGTAGAAACTAAGTGCAGTCTCATTCGACTGTGACACACCACTCCCCTTTTCAAAACATTGGGCCAGCTTGAACGTTCCCATTGCATTGCTGAGCTGAGCAGCAACGTTGTAGTTTTCGTAGGCTTTTTGTGCATTCTTGGGCAGTGTGAACATCCCAAACTCGTAGCCTACGCCAATAAATGTATGTGCTTCTCCTTTGAACCTCTTTCCTTGCTTCTTGTCAGAATAATCCTTGTAGATGACATTCTGTAGGAAATCATGGATCAACTGGTTGAATTCCTTGTTGTATCGTGCATTGTCATTCATTTTGAGTGGATTTTCAAAGAGAACCATTTTGTTGTACGACTTGTTATCGTCCTCAAGCCATTTCAGAAACTTCCGGAGGAATCCAAAGATATGCTTCTCTTTCTGGGCTTGGAATACCTCTCTGTGCGATTTTCTAATCTTTTCTGGTATCACTATGTATTTATCACTAATCATGAGGACTTATAATATTAATTTTTGAAGCATAAAGGAGTAATACAATGATCAACGATAATGATTCTATGCCCTGAAAATTGATTAATATTTCACCCTCAATATGGAACTGAAAATGACATGTACTGAAAAGACGCCTGTAAATCATAACGTGGTTAAAATAGTGCTGGAATGTGAAGATACCTTAGTTGAAATGCCTGTGAGTTCATTCGTGCTGATTACAAGTAACATGGGCATGAAGAGACCGTATACGCCAATTGAACAGACGAAGAAACACCTGTTATTTTATGTGAAAGTGTATGAAAAAGGAAATGTGAGTCGGTTCCTGGGCAATTTGAAGAAAGGAGATCCAGTGAATGTGACGTATTTTGTAGAAAAGAGAACGTACACGCCAAACGAGTTTAAGAACATCTTGTTCGTTGCGGGTGGTACTGGGATCACTCCATGTCTTCAAGTCATACGAGAAATTGTCAAAAACAAAAATGATAAGACAAAATGCACGATACTGAATTACAATTCAACACCAGACGACTGCTTTTGTAAGGAAGAGATTGAAGAATATTGCAAGAGTATGCAGGTGAGATGCATCAATAGGTTTGATCGTGATTTTAATGTGGAATCAGATTATGACTTCGTATATGTTTGTGGGCCACCTGGATTCATGGAGTGTATCAGTGGAAAAAAGACACCAGATAAGCAACAAGGAGAGCTAAAGGGAATTCTGAAAGATGCAGGTTACACAGAGTCACATGTGTTTAAGTTCTAAGAGAATTGTGCTATTGATTACTTTCTCCTATATTGACCCTTTGACTCTTTTGAAAAAGTGCACCAGTCCCTTATGATGAAAACTAGGAAATATAAATCACAGAAACTTAACAGGCTCACAAGGACGCTTATTATTTCACTCTTTAGCTTCATAATTGTAGAGTTAGGATAGAATGAAACCAAAGAGTGAAATGATCCAACTATCTTATTTCTTATAAAACAATTCGGCCACTTCGCAGGCTGGCTTGTTAAGAATGTTATCATCTGATGATAACTCGTTCCAATTGAACTCATTTGATAAATCGGCTTCATCAATCTGTGATGTATTTGTATTTTCCCATTTCTCCTCTATCTTCTCTTTTAGACTAATGAAGTCAGCATTTAGTTGCTTCTCAAGCTCTTTAAATATCTCATTCGGTGTTTTCTTTCTAAATTCAAATGGTTTTACGTCTAGTGATTTCATTGCATCAGAGAAATTTTTCATGGGGTGTTTAACAGGCGACCTAAAACGCCTTTGTTTTTCAGAATTCTCTTTAGTGTCTCTGAATCATTATTGAATATACCGTTGAACCTATTCTTTACAAAGAATGCAAATTTGTAATCGCATTGCCATTTCTGAAGCATGCACATTGCGTATGTCCTGTATGTTTTTCTGAGTGTATTTTCTTCAACATTCTGTGACAACTTCTTAACAGCCTTATAAAAGAGTTTGTCTTCGCAACAACCACCAATCATGATGTTTAGGAGCTTTTCAAGAAGTTCTTGACCATGTTCAGCCACGAGAACATCACTGCAATTTAATATTCTTCTGAGTAGTGTTTTAAACTGGGATGGTTGCTTATACAACGATATCATTATTTCATACTCTGTTTTAATTCTATTTAAACCAACTGGTTTGATGTTCTTGACAACTGGTGCTCTGAATTTTTCCAATTCGTCTTCTTTATTTTTCATGGGGATATTTTCAACCAATTATCAAAACAGGTTAATCTCCTTTATGGGTGTTACAACAGGATTCAAATATAGCAGTACAGCTATCACTGTATTCAATGCATTGTTCATTCTATTCACACTGATCTATATCATATTCTACCTGAGATATTTCCAATTCTGGAGACTTGAAGCAATGATATTCAAAAATGTGATCTTCAAACTGGTTTTATGCATAAAGATCCAGTGCTTTACGAACTTATTCTGTTCGCTATTCAACAATTACGCATTGAATGTAGCAAGCAAATTCATAATGAGGATCTCTCTGATTGCTTTGATGATAGGTATAATATCAACAGTGATATTTATTGTGATATTGCTATTTTCATACACACAAAATTATCCAAATGCCATCAAATACAGTTACTACTTTAACCTGGAGATTCAAACATTCATTAATAACAGATATGCATATGCACCCGTTAAGTCTGTGAATGATAAGATTGATTATTGTATTCAAGAGATGGATTTTTTGGTGAAATGTACATCAATATTTCTAATTGTATCAGTAACGATGCTTATTATCACATATATATTCACAAGAGTGATGGTTTATATAAAGATAAGCAAGGCACCACCAGTTAAACCAACTATACAAAGTTATAGACATGCAGCAATGGATACTGGTACATTGGCTAATATAAAGGTAGTGGAAAAGTGATATAAATTAGGTAAATTGTAACAAACAGAGTCAGATAGCTGAATTGATATCAGGAAAAGTGTCAAACACAACTGTCATGATCGACCGGTAGGGTGTGTCTTGATCTATAATATAAAATGAGTGATGTGTGTATAACTGTTTATTAGGTTGTTCATCATGGCTATCGGATGGGTTTATATTGTTTATTTACTTTTATACCTTTGTTTATCAACATGTCAGCTTGTAGATAAATAATGTCACGTGTGTAATAACAAATTAACTACATAAGAAACGGTTTTCTTTGAACCACAACTATGGACAATGAATGATCAGTAAATGGTATCTACCTAACAACAGGAGTATTTTGCCAAAAGGAATATAACCCCTATTATGTATTTGGGATACGTCACATATTGCGCATTTAATTTGGTTAAGGCTGCGGCAGGAGGCACACAAAGATCGGAGGAAAAACATTCACTGTGCAAAAGGAAACTTGTTGATTTGAATTCTCAAGCATCCGTGTTGAAGGAAAGGATTGATGCAAATCATGAGAAAGCATTGGGAATAAAAAAGGAGATCGATGAGGTTGAAAAACAAATCAGTCAACTTGCATCACCTGAAACAAAATTAAGAGCAGCACAGGAAGCACTCTTACTCTTAAAAGAAGAATTACAAGACGGAAGTAGTGGATCTGAAATTTCACAACCTAACACAGATGATATGGAGCTTATTCGACAAAAAAATGATGAGGTGAATACACTTGAGAAAGAGAAAGGAAAACTTGAGTCTGATATGAAAAAGATGGCAGAAGAGCTTGAAATTCAAGAAACAGAAAAACAGAAACTTGAAAAGAACCAGAATACCATTACACAAGAACTTGAATCAATATTATCAGATATTAAAGAAAATACAAAAAGGCGAGAAGTGCCAAATGTATCCAATGAAGAGATTACTGAATTGAACGACGCATTAGAAAAATTGAAAGCAGTGAAAACAGAAAAAGAAGGTAAACTCGTAGAAGTGGAAGAGAAGAGAGAACGTCTAAAAAATGAAAACGATCAATTGGTTAGTGAGTTTACAAGGATAAATATGGATGTTGGCATGAAAAATAGCCAAATTCAAGACCTGAACAATGAAATTGTTGATTTATCACATAACTTGACGGGTTATGAAATCAGTTCGGAAGAATCAGAACCTGAAGAGACTGAAGTTGATAAAGCCTTGCAGGTAGAGGAAAATGAGGGGGTCGCTCAATTAACTGAGGAAATAGCCAAGTTGAAAAAAGATTTAGAGCAATTGAAAGAGTTGGAAGGGAAAAAAGAAAAGTTGCAAAAAGATGTTTCTGTGCTTGAACATCAGGAATCGGAAGACAAAGAAAAATTGATGAAATTAGAAAAAGAAATTGATGAAATTCAAAAAGGAAACAAGGAAAGTGAAAGATGCGCTGATTAAATGATACGAGTATATTAGTTATTAAGAAGATAAAATATAAGGAGTTTTCAACATTAATAAAGAGTCTATATTCATAGGTATGAGAATAGATAGAAAATCAATAAAGGTGATAAATTGTCTAGAGCTACAAATCCTTAAACATATTACACACAAGTGATATATTTGAGAGAGAATAGTGAGTTTTAATGAGATGACATTCTGATATACGTTGCTTTGGTTTATATATTACCCCTATTACTTTGATCATTTTTATAACACAGTGGGCGCCGGGCAAATGGAATAGCTATAAATAGGAAACCCCGGTAAAAACCCCACATAAATAAATTCAAATCGACCGAAAATGGCCATTTTACGATATATTAGGCCGGATTTTTTCAAGGTTGCAAAAGAGCATCAAAACGTATCATAATGCGACAAAGAGAATACCAAATAAATAAGACCCATAATAACCATATTCCTCACTCTTACTTCCTAGACATCAATATATCAAACATTTATCTTTGTAACAGAAAATATTAGGAATAAAATGATCAAAACCAAGACAATGTAAAGAGCGACATGGTTTCCCACTACTCAAAACTAAAGATAAAATGCCCCAGTCAACATCAGTGATCTCGTGAATCAAATGGAGAAAGACACTGATAAGGTACTGCAGCAATACAGAATGAAATGCTAAGAGAACTGTATACATGTACTGATATAAATTGAGACTATTTTCAGATACTTTTATATCTCATGTTGCCTCTGAAGGAAGAAATGTGACTTATTAAGAAGCTAACAAAAAAGAAATTGTCAAATAAGGCATTTAATCCTAGAAAATGACTCTACAACGCACAACTGCAGATCAAGAATTTGCTTGTGCCTGAAAATGATGAAACCACATGATATAAAACATAAAATTAGTATATTAAGAATGAATATAGGGCACTAAAAGCAAGATAAGCATACTTTCTCCACTAAAACACATAATAAAAACCAAATTCGGCCTATTAACTATTGCCAAATACTCATTGCATTAAGTTTACCTGATTTGCTAAATATTCTTCTTTGAATTTATTCATACCTTGATGTCTTTATATGTTGTCTGTGTCCCATCTTCATCATTTCCAGCTGCATCAACCAACAGTATTTTCATTCCTTTCTTTTTCTTACTCTTTCGTTTCTTCAATACTGCAATTCCACCAATCAGTAGCATGAGTATTACTGTACTAGTCAAGAATACACCCATTAATATCTTGTATCTCATCAATATCTTCTTATCTTCATCAGATATTTCATATGCTTTCTCAGGTACTTTCTTTTTTGTTGTTTTCTTAGCATTCCTCTCATATTCTTCTAGGTCATGGATCATTATTTTATTGTCTGTACTCGTACATTTTATAATTGGACTTTTCAGGTTAGCCTTTCTAATCTCAAATTCCATGTAGTGATAAATTGTAACCACCTTATTTGGAAACTTATTTGTTGAAATATCCAAGTATTCAGGATACTTCTCTAGATTCTTTTGTAATCTGTATTGTCTTTCTTCAGGTGTTAATTTGCATTTTGGCCCTAATTCAACAATAGTGTCTTTGATTGCATCCATGATGTACAGTGGTGNTTTTGTTGTTTTCTTAGCATTCCTCTCATATTCTTCTAGGTCATGGATCATTATTTTATTGTCTGTACTCGTACATTTTATAATTGGACTTTTCAGGTTAGCCTTTCTAATCTCAAATTCCATGTAGTGATAAATTGTAACCACCTTATTTGGAAACTTATTTGTTGAAATATCCAAGTATTCAGGATACTTCTCTAGATTCTTTTGTAATCTGTATTGTCTTTCTTCAGGTGTTAATTTGCATTTTGGCCCTAATTCAACAATAGTGTCTTTGATTGCATCCATGATGTACAGTGGTGCTATTTTAATGAATTCATCCTCATTCTCTTCTGTTTGTTTGAATGCTTTGGTATAAGCCTTGTATGTTGCACTGCGGAAGAATTGTGAAACCACATCAAAATGAGGATGACTATTGATCACTTGATTCAGAAATCGTTGCACAAAAACATTCGATGATGTCCATCTATCTATTTTAAGACTAACCAGTGTATTTTCTGCACTTGTTATGCTTTGAAGTTCCTGTTTTTCTTTTGTTAAATCCCCAATTTTAATACTTGGAAAAACCAAATATCTTCCATTGGCCTGCATCACTTTATCAATGTTCTGACTCTTGCTTTTAGTGTGTTTATCACTTATTTGAGTTAGATCAGTGTCACCAGCGCAGTAAACATGCATCAGATGGAATATCATGGTGGTTACTGATGTGAAAATTATCATTTTTAGGGTTGTGAAAAACAGTATTAAAAAATCTCGAATAGTATTTGATGAAGAAGTGTTCATAGTACTGATGTGTTCTTGACTGCTGTTAAATAATCAGCAAAGTAGTCTGCCTCCAATACAAATCTTTCTAATCATAACGCATCGTTGACCACATTTTCATATAGGCTTATAGCTGGCCAGATTTAAGTGAACCTGAATGAGTAAATTACTCTACTAAAGAATTCTAGCTGTAAGTATTATATTTACAAATCAAATTGCTGCACATACACATTGTTTATGTTACAGGGGCAAGTATGTTTATTTAGATTATTCAACTATCACAACAAAGGTTTATTTCCGTTTTATTTTGATATTCAAAATCAGCATTATTGATATCAATATTCCAAGCAATATCACAAGCATCAACATTGCTTTCTTCTCCTTGACTGGCTTTACAGTGCTTTTCTTTTTCTTCTCTTCCTCTTTTTCTTTCTTTCCTAATTTATATTCTGGTATGTTGTTGATGTCCTGAAATGTGTATGCTTTATCAAATACAAATAGTGTAGAATATTTGTTCTTGAGATTAGAGCACAATTTCTCTAATTCACTTTTGGCAACAAATTTAAATCCAGTGGATGTTGTGAATCCACTAAATATCTTTGAGAGAAGATCCTTCCTAATCAGCATCGGATTGCGAAATATTGTTCTTGCATTTCTCTTATGGATATTGCAGTTGATTCCAATCAGTGATGATATTCCATCTGTAGTGAAATGTATTTTGTGGAATCTGATATCTGTACAGTTGGTATGAGATAACACATAATTGGTTACACTCATTCCTATGAGATATCTCATACCATCCTCCTGAAATGTAATGACATATTTGTTCTTAGTTGGTAGTACAAAATATTGGCCATGTAGTTTTGAAGCGTCCATATGCAATAGTAGTGTTGGTTTTCCCCTCATTCGACAACTTACCAGTTCTAATGAATTATAGCTGCTGAAGTACCATTCTGAAATAAGTCTAAAGGATTCAATGGATTCTTTGCAAGCTACCAATTCTGTATTGTCTGAGACGTTTTCATATGGTCTGAAGTTTACAATATCATGTAATTCTTCAATATCCAATTCAATCACATCATTTGTGAATAGCATTCTTTTAATTGCTAAACTAGTTATAGGGGGATTTAAACGCATTTTTTCATGGATAAATTAATAAGTCGAAATAGTGGTCTGATGTAATAAGTCGATAATTGAGTCTAAAAGTAGCAAATGTGGACCAAAGTATTAGTTAGAATAGTTAGAATAGTTAGTTAGTTAGTTAGTTAGTTAGTTAGTTAGTTAGTTAGTTAGTTAGTTAGTTAGTTAGTTAGATAACTATGAGAAGTATGCTGATGATTTGAATAGTTTTCTGATGAACAACAACTTTCCAGAATACAATCCACACGAATTGATGAAAAACACTGGCGTAGGAAACCTGAATCAACTGGAACCAAGTACCAAGGATGAGTACATCAGAGCAGT